AAAAAAAGGTTGAGAAGCACTGCCTTAAGTTAAAGAGGGAATGATTCCCCTTCTTTTACACCTCTTGACCTTTGACCTTTGACCCCCAGCTTCGACATCCCAACTCGTTTTCGGATTACTCCCCCACGTCCCGAATATCGTGACCGTACGTCGAGCGGTTAAGATTTGTGCCCAACTGTTGACGGACGCACGGACGCACGGACGGACGGACGCACGGACGGACGGACGCACGGACGATCATGCGATTCTACAAGCTGCATCTGACTATGTCAGATGAGCTAAAAATCAATCAATCAAAGACTTTTGAACAGCTTAACCGACTTCCTGCCTGGCCACACACGGATTAAAGACCTACATGGCATGAGCTGTTAACGTGATTTCTAAAACAAACCCTCTAATGACATTGCTAGCAAGTACTTTAGTCATTAATGAAATATAGGTGTAGGGGTACGTACACAAATGCCTTGGTCTTGTTTGATATTTGATGGTAGACAGGTGTTACTGAACGATTTCCTGTTTAAGTGCACATAATAACACGTCTATACATGTAGAGATTTATGCCTAACCTGGAACTACACACACAGCACCTACATTCCACATCAAGTATTGAGCATTAGGTATGCTGTGAGAGCAATGACTGCAAAATCAATAGCAGGCAGGACCCCTTTAAAAAATTTTTGCCAGTTTTCATGGAAATCTACATATATCAACTTTATGAGCTTTAATTCTCTTATTTCTCGAAAGAGTGACAAAATAACAACATAGTTTATGCCTCTTCTTTGGGTCAAAGGTTAACGGAACACTCTTCTTCCCATTTTGAGAGCAGAATGTAAACTGAATAGTCTGCGAGTAAGACCGTTGATTAATGCCTGATATCTGCCTTTATGATATGATTCCTGATATGAGACTGAGCGCTCCCTTCCGTATGCATGATGACCATACTTCGGGCAACACTTCGAATAAAGACCCCACAGCTACTGCTAACTTCTCCTCCTCATATACAAGCAAAGATGCGCATCGGATGCCGACCACATCTGTGCCTATCCGTGTTTTGCCTAACTTCACGAAACGTAGAATCACGACAGGAAAACACGAGCGTACCTTTGCAGTCGGCTCTCTTCTCCCATTGGCATCTCCGGCCGTGGTTACTCTTCTCTTCTCGACATTGTCTTGCACGACGTTCGGCGGCGACTCGGCGGCCGAGAAGATGAACTGACGATGGGGAGATGCGAGGTGTGGGACGTAACGGCTCGGGTAGAGCAGACGCGCGGGACGAATCATGACAGCCGCGCGCGCCGGTGATGTCGCTGCTCGATGGGCGTCGGCTGCACCGTTGGAAACGCCCCCTGGTGCTATGCGACTGGTGGCCGATGGGAACGGGTCTGGCCGCTCAGTCGAAAACCGCTTGCGTGCAGCAACGGCGCCGTCTGGTGGCGAGCTGTCAGTGGACGGGACCCTCTTTGCGGGCAATGGCCGCTGCATCGCGGGAGTGGGGGACTTTAGCACTGTGTATGGTGGCGACCTCTCTGTGCCCGCCGGGGAAAGGGTGCCGGGATCTCTCCGTGGGACAAACCTGACTGCGTGGGCACCACTGCTTACACTCTGCTGCATCGCAGCTCTGTCGCCAATCGTTAGCTTTGCGAGAAAGCAGCTGGTGATATCTTCGCGCTGAGCCGGTGACCTCCTGACGGCTCCCGGTGAGCCTGCAACCACGGCGGCCGAGGGACGTGTTCCAGGTGGAGCCGGTTGTTCCACGAGGTCCCACGCCGTCCCGACCTTCATCCCCCTGACAAGTGCTGGCGAGGATTTCTCCCACCCGACCGCAGGGTCGCTGCGAGTGCTTGCTGATGCTCTGCTTTGCTAGGAAAAAAACACCTTTAGTTTGCCTACCCAGTGAAAACAAGCACTGAATACAGTACCAAGAAATAACCACATTCAGTCTACATACTGCTGGCTTATAAGCATAGGCATAGATGAGGTGTAATTACCTATACACGTCCGAATAAATACCAATAAAGATTAAAATGCCTTGATGGAAATACGAGAATAATTCTGTATGCGACTGGTGATCGATAAAAAAGATATTTTACACAGTTATACCACCATTCGGAAAATGATATGATGAATGAAAAATATCGTTATCGAAATGTGCGCTCATACACCTATTTGTATATTATAAAAGCTGCTGGTAAATCTAATCAGAGGCAAATAACATCCACTCGAGGTTTAGCATGCATGCTCACCTTCTGTTTTATGCTACATCCCTAGAGTTTGTCTGCTTGATATTTAAATGTGTTCGACATTTATGTTCACTGCCTATTCGAATGACTTTTTATGCTCACTCGCTCAATTTCTATAAAGCACAACGTTTTCAAAGCATACGCAGCAACTATAACCCCCGATCATTTTCTCTTCAGTGCAGGTGTGGCTAGAATTGCAGCTGCACGCAGAATAGAACAAACGCGTTTGAATCAGCCAGAGGGAAACAAGTGGTCATCTGCTGGTCGAATTAGAAGCACAGATGATCTTCATGACTAGATATTTAGAATAAGGAAATAGAACAAGCCCATTTACTAGTAAATGACTTTGATGTTCCAATAATAACAGCTTATATATGCGCTGATAAAAATGCCTCGACTATAGCTTACACAACCATGCCAACTTTAAACTTTTACCTCTGCACCCCTAGATGTCAAATCAAAAAAGAAAAAGGCAGTGGGTATAAAGAAGCCATCAATGTACAATAACTCCAAACAAAGATGGTAGTTACCAAAGTTACCACAACAAAGGGATCGAATTGGTATTTAAAACCGGATGCAGGCGCGGATTTAGGCCGGTTTGCACCGGTTTCCAGAAACCGGTCACAGTCCTCAAAATTCACCAGAATGCACCAAATATAGCCTAATTTTTAAAAATTCCCGGGGGGGCATGCCCCCGGACCCCCCTAGCTGCAGAAGAACATATGGAAACTGGTCACCCAAACCCTCTGGATCCGCCCCTGGGATGTAGTGATAGTACACTCAATGTGCCCTAAGCTTCGTACAGTTATCGGTTTATGGCATGCATCCAAAAGAGTTCCAAGAGAGTTGCTGTTCTGTTGTGGGTAAAGGTGCGAGTGTGATGGTAGTACTAATTAAACAATTCTTAGAAACAGCAGCGATTTGCGCATGCCATGGCCAGCACTCCGATAAGGCAAGAGCGAACCCATCGAGGGCTCAGCTACAGCTTTACTGCTGTAAAATTCACCTTCAACTTGCTCTTCATTTTATCCCTAATCTCCAGCAGTTGGCGAGAGAGCAATTGATACTTCTGGCATGCAATTCCAAGTTCTGAGCTATCCTGCAGGTGGAAAAACATTCAAACACATGTCACCAATGCGGCATTCTAACCACTGCAACGTTTACATACAGCTACTGATGACATTTTACAGCTGCCTCATCGGCTATCCACCATCCCTTGTTTGCAAATTGTTTGCCAAAGTTGTTTATTTTAGTATTCATTGCATCTCTATTATTGACAAAGATAGCACCAATATCCATTGCACGTCTAGGCCCAATTCGTACAACAGGCACACACACAACGATGCTAGAGTTACAGTATGGGTGACGTTGATAATTACAAAGGTACAGTGCCGCTTGCAAGAACAAGTGCCGCGGAGCGACAGCGCTCATCTAACGTCTACTGCGGTGACTCTGTGGTGGAGTGGTGGGATTCTAGTAAACCATGTTAGTCCCAAATGTGTTCACATACGTGCCGAAACAGTGGAAGGCACAGGGATGGTATAAGGAACCTTCTCAAAGGAATGTTTGTTGGGATCGTTATGAAAGTTGCCACGAGATGGCGCGTACGTTTAAATGTCTTAAGATTAAAGATGGAAGCTCCCATCGTACATAGTAGCAACAACTATTTGCAAGACGCAAGACAGAATTGGTAAGCACTCATCCATTTACCTACGCAAGCCTACAGGTTGAAATAGAGAGCTGCCACCTGTAACTAATTAATGCAGGCAAAAACTACACAGTACTATCACTACTACATGCACAGGCAGTGACCACTGGCAGTGGCATAAGTTACATGTAACACACTGACAGTACAGAATGCCATAGAAATTATACGATTTAAGGAGCATAAACCTTCTTCAATCAAATTTAGCTTTTGAAATTTCACTGTGACATTGTAGATTCATACATCCAGGCATGTATAGATTCTACTAGCAAACCAGGCAGTCAAATTCTTTCTAACAGTAAACAAATCCATGTTTAACCCTCCTCTTGAGGGTCAAAAGGTTATCCGACACTTACTCTTCGCATGTCAGCAGAAAGTACATTTCATGGTCCTTTCAATAAAGCCATAAAAATGCTAGGTCACCGCTGAAACAAAAAAGTTTTTCAATCACTCCGTCAGACCACGTCCTAAAAAAATGTCTCAAATCTGCCCTGTGCCCCATTGACCTTTGACCTGTGACCTCCAATTTCGGCACAGTGGTGGCTTTTCCTACCATGATGCTATACACCGACTATCATGAGCCTAGGTCGAGCCGTTTAGATTTGTGCCGCAATTCTGCATTTCCTCCCTATACCGTAAGTTAAGGAGGGAATGTTCCCCCTTCTTTTACACCTCTTGACCTTTGACCTTTGACCCCCAGCTTCGACATCCCAACTCGTTTTCGGATTCCCCCCCCCCATGTCCCGAATATCGTAACCGTACGTCGAGCGGTTAAGATTTGTGCCCAACTGTTGACGGACGGATGAACGCACGCACGGACGGCCGGACGATCATGCGATTCTACAAGCTGCACCTGACTACGTCAGATAATTAGCTAAAAACCGAGGCAGAATTAAGGGTACTGGAAGAATAACAGAGAAGGAGACAGAGGCTTGTGTGAGAAACAGAGGTTATAAGTTCAATTTCATGTGATGGGTCAGTGAGCATGGGGATGTGCATATACGTACTAGGATATTACCGAATCGAGTAGAACCTACAAATGGGGGTCATAATATACTTATTGCAGGTAGCTGTTCCAAAGAGGTGCTTCCATTATATAACTGCCATGCAAGAGAAATGCTGAAAATATCCTTTATAAAAAGGATGTCATATAGATGTAGCTTCATTATATAACAGCCACTTAAATGAAATGCCAAAAGCATCGTTCATAGATAGGTGTACCTTCTAACTTTCTAAGTTCTATAGAACCCTCACAAATAATACAGGTTTGACTGCAATCGCATGAGCAACAAGAGGGAAATGCGAACAAATACAGGTGGATAGGGCCGATACTCTGGTGGTGGGCTATGGTTAGACTGAGGTGTCTACCCAAGTGATGTGGAAACTACAAGTGCTGGTGCCTGGTGGGTTCAGAGGGGCATGTTCCTGTTGGATCATACATCAAGTTCGTATGTCTCCAGCCCTCTCTGTAAAGCCTTCTCCAGTAAAGAGTCGCTGTCTTCATCGCTGACATCTGTGCTCTGGTAAGTAGTGTTCGGCGGAGGGTCAACAACCCTTAGCTGCCATGATGGCTCAGCCGTCATAGTCTCATTCGTTTGTAAGTGTGCAGCCATAGCACCTGCAACACACTACAATAGCAGAAGAACAATTACAACTTATTTGGAGAGTGATAGATTGAGGACGAATCAAAGTTAAAACTAATGCTGCTGCAGCATTACTGCTAGCTAGCCCAATGGATATTGCTGCTGCAGCTGCTGCCACTGTCACCATTGCTGCTGCTATCGCCATTGCTGTTGCTGCTTATGCTGCCATCGTCATTTCTGTTGCTGCTGCTGCCATCGCCATTGCTGCTACTGTTACTGCTGCCAACAATTTCTTTAGTATTTACAGAGAGCAATATCACACATATTATTAGTACACCATGAGCTGCTTAATTACTGCACTTATTAGATGGAGAAAAAAGAGAATCAGATGGGAGAGGAAGAGTGAGAGGAAGAGAGAGAGAGAGAGAGAGAGAGAGAGAGAGAAAGAGAAAGAGAGAGAAAGAGAGAGAGACAGAGAGAGAGAGGAAGAGCAAGAGAGCGAGAGAGTGGGTGAGTGAGAAAACAAGTCTCTGAGCAATACTAAGAGAGGAAGATAGGGTGGGGGGGGGAGATAATAATGAGAAGAAATTAAAAGACATATTTGATAAATAGGTAGTTAATAATATAATTAATGAGAATTGCTCACCTCTTTTTCTAGTGCATTCTCTTGCAGCCATTCGCTCGCAACTTGCGTTGAAATGCGTTTCTTCAACCATGAAAATTATGCACATTTACACACATACAAGAAAATAGAGAAGAGGCTAGGTATATGAACGTTTGCCCAACAAATTCATATATAATACTCTATTTAGTTTCTGTTCAAAATGTATGTTCTAATCTATATGTATTTAATTTAGCAAAAGTATTGTACTAAAATTTATCAGTTAGATGGCTCACCTTGGCTTTTTTGCATTTCCTTAAATCTTTTTTAGTAAGCATATCATTCCACATCTCATTGCAAGTACTATCCATTAATGCTGTAGAGTAATGTATCAAAAATAATTGTCAGGTTATAGCTGTTTTTATATTAAAAAGGCATAACATGGTTGCAATTACGGGATTCTTTTCCCAGCAAAACGAGAGATCGTGTCTAAACTAGGAATTAATGAACAATTTTCGGGTACCGGATAAAAACGAATTAAAGAATTAGAGACTCAATTACCCTAATGAATTATAATACATCCCATTCAATTATATTGAAAATTCAAGAACTATATTGCTTCCTTTTAGATAATGAAATTATAGCAATTATAACAATAGCGAGCAACCTTGACTGTGCTGGGTACGTGTCTGCAGATTGCCGGACTGTAAATGAGAGGAGAAACTGAGTAGATTGTTTCACTGAGCTTGAAAGCTCTAACTGCACAGTAACATATATGTAACCTAACTGCTCTGTACAACTTCATAAATTATTTGCTAGAGCACAGAACCCTGTAACTAGCCAGCCGATCCCAGCTTGCGACTATGAAATCTCTGGATCTTCATTCGTGTTCAAAGCACTACATTGAACAGAAAGTAGCCCAATGACATTGAAGCAGTGAGAAACGTGGGAGGTAGTAGCGGAAACATATTACAGAACCAAATACGATCAAGTTATATGCCTTAGCTTGAAGTTAAAAAATAACAGCCAATATTTTTAGAACTTAAACCTTATAATAATACATAATATAACATGATGTAATTAGATTATGACCAATGCAGAAGTTCAGACAATAATTCACAAGTTAAGATTTATTTACAGATACTCCAGCACCCATCACAATATTTACCCTCTCTATTACATGCCTGTGAATCATGTGAGATGAAATAAGAATATTCACAAACTATATATCACATTAGAAAGCATAACAAAGGTTTATAAACTTTAGTATAGGTCCATAATGAGCCTATATCATGCATGATGATCGGAATTGATATTAGGATCAAAGCTAGTATGTGTTGACACCATTTTAGTTAAAATTAACATCCTCATGTGCAACTGCATACATGTGGCCTATACGTGTAATTTCAAAATATAAGTCGTCTGTTAACTGTCACCAACTGCAATAATATTGCAAATATGGATATGGATATGGATATTTCAGTTCCACCTAGGCCTATATATAGTGACCTAGCAGTAGGGCACGAAGGGTCGTTGTCGTATAATGGCGTATAATATGTACCCGAGGTAACTATTTGATATGGTTAGGGTTAGGGTGTTAGGGTTAGGGAGTAGGCGTAGGCGACATACTCGCCGACACCTCGGGTACATATACGACAACGACCCCTTCAGCAGCAGTAGGTACAGTAAAATGAATTATGCCCTTGGTTTGCAACAATAGCAAATTCCTACATATTTATCATGAATCTACATCAGCATGTTTCAGTAGCTGGTCACAACCTATTAACCAAGTGGACACTTAGGGAAATATAGGTTTTATCAGTTTTTAGTATCTGGCTAGAGTTATGTTATATGCCATCGCCAAAGTGGCCTACAAGAATGTAACTTTAAGAAATTCCTATACATCAAACTTCAAAGGTTCAATTGGAATTGGGCTACTGCATAAGGGCGAGCTCTACAAGCACAGGCACTTGAAACGTTTTAATAATAATGAATGCAAATAATATATAATTTTGACGTTTTAATGTTTGTGCACATGCAGCGGCATTCGTCCGGTGAAATTGTGTTGCAGAGGAGCATCTCAATGGCAATTATAGAAATTAAGTTGTTACTAATGCTCATAGGGTCTATATCCCGGCCCCAGGGTACTGCCGGAACGTACCCTGGGTACGGTCCGGTATACCGGAACGTACCCTGGTAACTATCTATGGTTAGGGTTAGGGTTAGGGTTAGTTAGGGTTAGGGTTAGAGTTAGGGTTAGGGTTAGGGTTAGGGTTAGAGTTAGGGTTAGGGTTATGGTTAGAGTTAGGGTTAGGGTTAGGGTTAGAGTTAGGGTTAGGGTTAGGGTTAGGGTTAGAGTTAGGGTTAGGGTTATGGTTAGAGTTAGGGTTAGGGTTAGGGTTAGAGTTAGGGTTAGGGTTAGGGAGTAGGCGTAGGCGACTCACTAGACTCGTTAGTGGAGTATAGGCGAGGTACGGTCCGGCATATTAGATAGTAGTATTTAGTACCAGGGTACGTTCCGGTATACCGGACCGTAACCAGGGTACGTTCCGGCAGTACGCTGGGAGACATAGACCCTATCGATCAGCGTTACTAATAATAGCCGAAATAGAATAGAGAAATATTATTAAGACTTTGGTAGTAAACACATTTCGTGTTTATTTACCATCATTTTATTATTGCAACGTTCCAAGTTGTGTTGTTATTCATTTATCCTCCTGCTTCACGAGGTCATGGTCACAATGGTGCAGGCCCTGCAGGGCCCGGAGGGTTAAATTAAGGATAGAGAACATGGGTCCCAATAAAACCAATGTCACTTAATTACATCAATATAAATATAATATTACATCAATACAATAGGTTAGGGTTATGGTTAGGGTTAGGGTTAGGGTTAGGGTTAGGATTAGGGTTAGGGTTAGAGTTAGGGTTAGAATTAGGGTTAGGGTTAGGTTTAGGCACATTGGTTTTATTGGGACCCATATTCTCTATCCTTAGGCCCGTCCCTGCAACCCAGGGTAGGGGGGGGGACGTGTACAAAAACATTGCGAAGGCATAATATTATAGGTCCCTGTTGATTATATGCTAATAAACGACATGTATATAATGCCTGATGGTTATTTTCTTTGAAATTTAATTTCAGCACAAACAATAATGTATGCAGTTCGCGTACGCCAATCTTAACTAAGGATGACATATCCTACTCATGAGATTCACGCGGCGGTTGCGTTGCGGCATGAAAACTACAAAGAGCGCCACCTATATGTCGTTATCTAATTTAATGATATATTATCAGGAGTAAGATAATACAGTAAAAACCCGCGTATAAGAACATAGATTTTAAGAACATGTTAGGCTAAAATTTCCCATTTAGACTCCTTTACATAAGAACCTGTTTTAGGCTAAGATTTTATAGTAGGTTCTTAATTTTCCATGCAGATGAAGACTTAAAAAGAAACACAGGTAAAATAAAAAAGAGCTCAACAATATCGATGCAATAACAATGCCAATGCCAATGCCAATGCTCAACAATAACAATGCCAGCACTCTGGCATTGTTATTGAGACACAGTACTGCATTATTTACATATACAGTAAAAACCCGCATAAAAGAACACGCGTCGATTAAGAACACTCAGGCTGAAATGCGGTCAAAAAATTGCATATACATAAGAACACATTCAGCCTGAAAATACATGTATTTGTATTGACATCTCAACCATAAAAAACAAACATGTGCAACAACTAAACTCTCCATATAACACCTTACACATAACACTACTGTACTGGTAACACATGCATCACAGTCACTAAGCCCGCGCATAGCGCGGGTTTCAGCTAGTACATATTAAAAGTAGAAACAATTAAGAACCTTTTGAGCCTAATTTTTCAGTAAGCACCATTTATATAAGAACATGTTGAGGCTAACTTGGAAAAATCTATGTTCTTATACGCGGGTTTTTACTGTATAGGATATCCTATCCTATATCATCCTATATAATCATCCTATATAATCATCCTATATAATAATATCCTATATTATCTTACTCCTGATATTATCAGGAGTAGATAATAGGGATAATAATTCCCTATTATCTACTCCTGATATTATCAGGAGTATTATCAGGATATTATCAGCCTTCTTTATCTGCTCTTGATATTATGTATGATTTCTCCGTGGTCGCCCCCCGCCGGTAGCACACAATTCCCACTAGCGGAGGCCTTCGTTACGGGTTTTGAGAGCTTGCCTCCACCGCACAGTCTGCCGACGAAAAATAACCAGTGCTTGACACCTCAGTAAGTTCTTGTTCGTCTATAGGTTTGTTGGTATATGTATAAGTGCGCACGCGCGTGCGTGTGCGTGTGCGTATCTGTGTGTGCGAGGGTGCCTGTATGCGTGCGTGCGTGCGTGCTTGCTTGCTTGCATGAGTGTTGTGTGTGTATGTGCGCGCGCAAGTCTGAAAGCGTGTGTGTGTTCGTTTGTATGTGTGTGTGTCACTAGCGGATTAAGGGCGGGGCAACAGGGGCACGTGCCCCGGGCCCCCCACATTTGGGGCCCCCCACATTTAGAGTATCCTAAAATTTACAAAACTGTCGTAATTGTGATCCACAAAATTCTTAGCATGTAACGTTGAAGTGATGCGTTTCCCATGCTGTTTCTCTGACTGAATTTTGCTGTTCAGCTAAAGGGCACTTTCCCTAATACCGAAATTGCTCTGAGAATCTATCTTTCATTGATGGTCTCGAATTGTAGCGGTGAAAGGTCATTTTTAA